TGGACATGTTTCTTTTGTTGCAGCCCAGGATACAATTTGGTTTCTGGGCTGCAAGCACACATTGCTAGCTCATGTCCAGATTTGCATCCGCCAGCACCTCCAAGTCCATCTTGGTAGGGTTGTTCCAATCTGTTCATCCCCAAGCCTGTACTGATATCAGGGGTTTGCCCTGACCCAGGTGCAACACCTTGTACTTGGCCTTGCTGAACCTCTTGAGATTCCCATGGCCCTACTTCTTGAGCTTGTCCAGTCATCCTTTTCTTCAGACATGTCAACTGAACCACACAACTTGTCATCTGCAGACTTTCAGAGAGTACACTTAGTCCCACTGTCGATGTCACTGATGAAGATATTAAACAGTACTGGTCCCAGTATGGACCCCTGGGGGACACCACTTGCCACCACGTATCATCTGGACATTCATAGATTGTGAACAGATGCTTTTTGTTGTATGCAGCAAGCTTCTAGTCATAAATAAATACAGCCATGTACTTTGAATCAAGTCATAAAATATTTTAATCAATAGTCACATTAGTTCATGTTATAATTTTAATTAAAAAATAGGCAAATTTCTGCCTGCCTAAAACTCTGTATACCATTGCAATCCATTACTTTTCCATGTGTTTATTTGTGAACTGCTAAAATATCAAATGTAACTCAAATCTAGACAACAATTAGACTTCAGAGTACTTTCCCCTTAATTTATTATCAATAGTGAGTGATCACAACAGCAAATATGTAGAGATTCAACATTCATCATAACATTCACAGTTATTGTTTTCATAACAGAAAATTAAGGTTTGTCTTTCATTTCCTAGAGTTGTGGCTGACTCACACAATTTTGACTGGTACTTCAGCAATTCATAGTTGCATAAACAGTAAAGACAGATCAATCTAAATGAGGGTGTTGAATAAGCAGAAGCAGGTGTGTATTTGTAGCTGGGTATTGTTTCATCCCACTCTAAAAATTGGCATGAGAAGAAAAGTGTATCTGTCCTGGGCTCAGAATCTGAGTCACACCATACTTGGAAGTATTCATACTAAAAGCTTTTGGCTCTGGCACATCTCTTGTTTTCCATATGATTGCTCATTCTTACTACAATTTCCCAATTCCTCAGCACCATTTTCAACTTTTCGTAATACTTACATTTTTTAAATGAGACTTTTTAGTTTCTTAGATGAGCTCAACAGATCTTCAGGAGCAAAGGACTCTCCCAGCAATAATCCCCTTTCTCCACACTCTGATGGCTTGGGCTGGCCAGTCCCAGGAGCTAAAGTCACAGTCTGGGGTGCAGACCTGGCCCCAAATCCTTCCTCTCCCTTCTTTCTACAGAATGATGGCAAGTGGATATTGTTCACTCTGTGCTGCATTTTGGCTGTTTCCTCACAGAAGGGGAGAGAGACTGGGAAGGCCAGGCAGAGGAGAGTGCATGTAGGTCAGGCAAAGTGAAGCACATCACGGGAGACACATCTCAAACTGTGCCAGTAATTGGGATCACTGGGTGTTGAGCACATCAGTATAGTGACTGTCAGTAGATCTGAGTCTTGTTACCATTTCAGCATGATGATCCTTCTGCTTCCTTACTACCACCCAAATGCTTTGTCTTTTTTCCTTCCATAAGGACTTACCTTTCCTCAGGAAGCAAGTTAGGATATTGCTTTATCATCAAACACTTGATCGATAAAATCAAAGTCTTACTACATCCTGACACAGGTGAGCTCAGGTTAAGAGAGAAAAAAAAAGAAGCTGTTTTGTTCTCCTCATTTTCCCTTTTTTCTGCTTCTTGTGACTTTCTGGCTTCCTGATCCAGTCTCTGTCATCAGGGCTAACCTCCCAAGTAATTTGTCTGACTTCATCTCTGCAGAATCAGGTAGAGCATTTCATTCAGCTTAGGGGTGGCACAGGGTACTTGGTGATTGGAACTGTGCCATGGGTTCCAAGCTGCTTCGCCAGTGAAGTCAGATAGGTTAGGTTAGCCCATCTTCAGTGTTCAGCTGCACTCAGAACCAGCTGGGAGCACTGAGGCACTCAGCAGCAGCAGCCAGATGGATTAAGCAATGGTGTTTTCTCCACACTGCCTATCTGCATGAAGGCTTTGAGTCAGGTCCAGCACAAAGAGCTTAGCTTAAGCTCTGCTGGCTTAAACTGACCTCTTGACTCTGTGCTGGGGAGGCAGACAAGTATACACACATTTAAGAACAACAAGGAGGCACCTGAGTAATAAAGTGGTGGCACTAAGTCAAATCGAGGGAAACTGTAGCCCCATGCTCTGTCTCTGGTAGTGTCCCTTGGTAGATGTTAAGGCAAAAAAAACAGGAACAAGGAAGGCATGCAGAGACACATTCTGCACTCCAGAGATCTGATTGTATGGAACTCTTGATTCAGAATTTGTAGCTTTATATTCACTAGGCTTTCAGGGTCTTTTTTTCTTCTTCTATGACTTTGTATAATTGCTTTTTGACTGTATTTATGATACTGGCAGCATCTGACAGTGAATGCCATATTCTCTTTTGCCCTGTGAAAAAAACCCAACACCCAACACTTATTTTGCTTGTTTTAAACCTGCTAATTTCATTGGACATCCTCTTGTTCTCATGCAGTGAAAAGCCAAGCATCCATTCATTGATTTTTCTAGGCACTTTCCCAGGGTTCTCCTGTTTTTATACATATCTGCCACATCCTCCTTCAGTTGTCCCATTTCCAAGCTGAAAACTCCAAATCAATTTAAGCAGTTCCAGGCTTTAATTGCCCTTCTTTAGTTCTCTCATGTAATTTTGAGAGGCAAGTACCAGAACAGCAGGCAGTAGACAAAAGGGAGGGTACTCTGTGGTTTTCTATAGTGCTATAAAGGTGTTTTCTGTTTTGTGCTCCATTCATTTTTTTTTAAAAGTGCTAACTTCTGGGGGTTTTGACTGACAATGAGCATGGGATTTATATTTTCTTTTAGTAGGCCCTTTTTTTTTTGATTAATTCATTTTTTTAAATTAGCCACAATTGACATTATTTATTTGGTGTGCCTTTTGTGCCTACAGAAAGCTGAATTTCAGTTCCTCAGGATTAGTGTTTTAACAGTAGTCTCTTGAACCAGCCCTGGTCTTGCTCAGACAAGATAAAAAAGAGCTGGTTTTATCAGAGATTTTCAAAACATCAGAGAAAAAAAAGTTATCGTGTTTAAAAATTTAGTCTCTACGTTACACTTAGATATGACATTTGCCAAGGTTTTATGAGAGAGTCTCCCATTAGCTCTGTCCAGGAACACAAGTATTGCTAATACAACTACCAGTAATAAGTTTTACAGTGCCTACAAAATGCATTTTACGATGGTTTTCATAGAATCATAGAATCAGCCAAGTTGGAAAAGACCTCCAAGATCATCAAGTCCAACCCTACTGTGGTTACTAGACCATGGCACTAAGTGCCACATCTAGTCATTTATGTGCAGGTATAGCATATTCATTTATTTTTGTCATGCTGATATGTGTTTCAAATAATTTTTGTCAGTTACTACTGCTGTTTGGTCATGCAGAAACCCTAAATTCTGGGATAAGAATTAAAAATAAATGGTCATACCATCTACAAATATTTTCAATACCTTAATATCATTGCACAGGTGCTTTCTTTCTTTGGAAAAGTTTCTCAGACCTGGACAGTATTTTTAGTTTCCCCTAATAGCTGTTAAATATCTGCTTGTAAGGTATCATCTTTGCTGCCCTTCAGTGCAACTTCCTGATGACAAAAGATGTGTGCATGGAGAGCATGTTTTCATCTTTGTCTTATATTCTTATTTATATTTGTTTCTAGAAAGGAGGCACTTTCTAAAATATTCTTTACTTATATTGCTATTTTATTTTTAACCATATTTTTGGTGACAAATTTGAGGGATCTGTAAGAAACCGATTTTGAAATCAGATGTGCTAGAAATGCAAATGTACAGGTATTGATAGATAAAATGAGACCATGGTCCATCTAATCTAATAATCCTTCTGACAGAAAGTAGATGACTCCGAAGAAGTTGCCAGAAGTTTCATGAGAGACAAATAGAGGGTAATCTGTCAGCCTCCTTAAGTCTTCTCAGAATTTCTTAGTACTTTGAGATAATGTTAAGCCCTAAAGCATAAGGTTTCAACTTTCTTTGAAAATATATTAGCATTAACTACTACAAATTTTGAGCTCATGAATAGCAAAAATTTGACAAATATGAAAAACGAGATAGTGCAGGCATTACTGAAAACTGCAAATCTCTGAATCATGGAATGATTATTTACTTTCTAAGCAGGTGAGATAATTTTGGGAAGTGAAAAAGACATAATGAGTAGCCAATACCTTTGTGATCGTCTTGATCTTTCAGAAACTTGTTTTGTGGCATAAATTTTACAAAACTAAATTGTTCTAACTAATGCTTTGAAATAAGAGCACAGCTCTGGTGTGCTACCGATTCATCATCCTAAGTGTGATCACACCTACAGGACAGGATGTGCAAGGGATCAGACCCAGCCAGCATGGGTTTAGGAAGGGCAGGTCCTGTCTGACCAACCTGATCTCCTTTATGATCAGGTAACTTGCCTGGTGGATGAGGGGAAGGCTGTGGATGTATTCTATCTGGACTTCAGCAAAGCCTTTGACACTGTCAGACCATGGTAGGGTTGGACTCGATGATCTTTGAGGTCTTTTCCAACCCAGTTGATTCTCTGATTCTCTGATTCTATGACATAGCAGGTATTTGGATGAGAGGAATGTAAACTTATCCTGTTAAAGTATCAGGAAGTGTTAATGTGATATATGCTTGTGAGCATGATTTGATCACTAGTGCTACCACCAAGAAAATTGTTAGCATTTCATGAAAGGTAAATATTCAGTTTCAGAGAAAACATTTCGAGCTGATCTTTATATTTGGTGATAAGCCAGATCCTACCTCGCATAATCCATTAATCTAAGACAAAAGAAGAAGCAGCAACATATGTATTTCTGAAATTTTATGTGTTGTTTCTTTTCTTTGCAGACAACTATTACGGCACTCCAAAGCCTCCAGCAGAACCAGCTCCACTGCTGTTAAATGTGACAGACCAGATCCTCCCAGGTGCCACTCCCGGGGCTGAAGGCAAACGTAAAAGGAATAAGTCTGTGAGCAATATGGAGAAGACAGGCATTGAACCACCGGAGGAAGAAGAGGAAGAAAGACCTGTGGTCAATGGAAATGATGTGACAGTAACACCAGGTCTGTTCTTCCTTCTTACTTTGCAATGCATTTCTGTTATTCACAGAGTCCTCAGTTACCTCCTTCTGCAGTGGGGATAAGCATGTTCAGGTAAGGATGTTCTTGCAGAAAGGCAGG